CTTGGTGGATGGGTCTAGCATGTGCTTGGTGGATGGGTCTAGCATGTGCTTGGTGGATGGGTCTAGCATGTGCTCATCCTAGTTTGATTCTCAACAGTGCATAAACCCAGTGTGGTAACACTGTTCAGTAACTCCAGCACTCAGGAGTGTGGAGGCAGGAGGATCAGAAATTCAAGCTCATTCTTGAACTACAGAAAGAGTTTAAAGCTGGGCTTTGGTGGCACACACCTTTAATCCCAGCACAGGCAGGCAGATCTCTGTGAGTTCAAGGTCAGCTTGGTGTACAGAGTGAGTTCCAGGACAGCAACAGCTGTTATACAGAGAAACCCTGTCTCAAACAAACAAACAAAGAGTTAAAGGAGAGCCTGGGGTACATGAAGCCTTGTCTTAGTAATAATAATAATAACAACAACAACAATCACAATAGCATCAGCACAGAGGTCAGAACAAGGAGGGCAACACTCCCATTACATCTAGAACTGACAAAACTCAATATGGCAGTTTTTCTCTTAGTATCATATCACCCTTGAAGACAGATGCGGCATACAGATGCATTAGAGGAGATGAGTATTTGTTCAAATATTCTTTCAAGTGATATTTCTGAGTGAAATGCCTATGGTGCTTTTCAGAAGGATGCAGAGTTCCCTGCTGATACCCAGCTGGACTCATCTTCTGCCCTTACCCCTAACTTCAGGCCCCCAACACTCTCCCCCATCCCCCACCCCAACCTTGGTACCTGCCATCCTTGGGCTGGTCTGCTCCCTTGGCCTCTGTGCCTAGCCTCCTAGCCCCCATGTGAGTCTGACTCGCTGGGCTTCTGCTTCTCTTCTCAAGGTTTCTGACACTCAGTAGGCACACTCCTTCCGAGCTCAACATTCCTGGACATAAACATGTCACCCTTGATAGGACTCTCCTCTCCCCGACTCCCTCACCCCAGGTTCTCCAGCTTTGGACACACAGCTGACTTTACCCCGTCATTACCTGTCTTCCCTCTTTCAACGTTAGAGGTGAAGGGTGTTTTTTTTTTTCATTTGTGATGTGCATGTGCGTGGCAAGTAGAGGGCCTTCAGCAGACGGTTTCTCCTGGAGACAAAAAAATGAACAGTCAAAAAAAAAAAAAGGAATAAAAATACCAGAAAGAGCAGCTCCCAGTTACAAATGCATCCTAAGTGCAATGTGCTATAAGCAGTGGTCCATTTACTGTCAGCCCAGGGAAGGACATAAATCCTCCCAAATGAAGCACTTTGCGGGTGTCATGCTAAAACAAAATTAGTGGTCACAAAAAGGCAAACCTTGTCCCCTCCTACCCAGATGGGGCACCCAAAGGCCAATCCGTAGAAATAGGAAGTAGGAGAACAGGTGCTGAGGTAAGGGGGGAAAAGGGTGGCACCGGAAGCTGTTTAATGGAGGTACAAGTTTGGTTTTTCAAGAGGAAAAGCGTCTGCAGATCTCTTGCAAAACAACAACTGCACTCAACCCTCTGAACCATACACTCCAAATTGGTTAAAGAGGGCTTGTTTTCTTAGTGCCTAGAGGGCTCAAGTGAGACCCAGTGTGCATAGAGGAATAGTTGGGTCACTGACCCTGCAAGTTACCGTGGAGCTAATTTGGAGACTACTGGGGTTCACGGATATATCATATCCAAAGAAGCTGGTGGACACAGGGATCGTTACGGTGAAGAGAGGCCACATCCGGGGAAGCGAATGTGCCCACAGAGGTAACCAAGGGGATGCTAGCCCCATAGATTGGGCCCTGCTGTTTTGCTGTCTCAGCAGTCAGCAGAGTGACTAACACAAGTCAGGTGCTCGATAAATATTTGTTCGATAAATAATCTTGACACAGAAGCACGGTGCTTTGTAAGTAATGGATAACTAATAAATATTTAATTGTGATATCACAGTTTGTCTTACAAATGCTATCTAAAATAAAATAGTTAAAAGTTGCATGATACTGATATGATTTCAACATTAGGAGATCTTTCAAGATATTAATTGGGGACTTTAAAATCCACATAGCTTTATTACTTTTAGGAGAGCAGGTTAACTATTTGGTTTGTTATTTGGAAGTCTATTCTTTGAGCAAAGAGCTATGGCATTAAAAATGTGTTCCCACAGAGCCGTTATATGGTTTTATATTATCTTCAGAGAATTCAGGATATAATACTTCACTACGAGAGTTTTGTGATGGTTCAGTGGGTCTGTTTTCCCAATCAGTTACATTCCTACAGTTCTTTAAAGAATCAAATTCTTCAAAAACATCACATGCCAAAATATCTATGCCAAAACTGCATACAATTTTACACATCAGCTAAAATAAATGAAATTTCTAAGTAATAAGAATTCCATAAAATTTTATTCTGAATTTCTGACTCCCCAGATTTTCCTGTTCACTAAATCACAGAGGAACATTCACAGAGATGCTACGAATCTGTGCTTTTCTGTGAATGAGCTCTTGCTCTCGCTAGCTCAGCCCGCCTGCTCCTTGGGGTAGGCTATGGTTTGGGGTGTCTCTGAGCCTTTGTACACACAGCTTCCTTTGTCTAGCCTCCCGCCCCTCCCAAACAGTAATGTGGGTAACAGCAGTGCCCCTTCCTCTTACAGCTCTCAGGATGACTCAGCTCTCAGGCTGATGAGGAATGCGTCTGGGAGGGCTAGGCACAGAGTAAGGCATCAATACCAGACGTTATTACTCATCTTTTCATTGTCGTTGTTTTAAAAGGTCTGTTTAAGTGTGTGTGTGTGTGTGTGTGTGTGTGTGTACAAGTGTGTGTCAGGTATGTTTGTGTGCCTGAAGAGGCCAGAAGAGGTCAGCCAATTAATTGTATTCTCTGGAACCAGAATTGCTGGAGGCTCTGAGCCACCAGATATGGGTGCTGGAAACACAACCTGGATCCTCTAGAATAGCAGCAAGCACTCTTGACCACCGACCCATCTCTCCAGCCCCTTCCTCGTCTTTTAAGGCTATTAAAGGCTTTTGTTTTACATAGGGTTGGTTGCCATCAGCCTTAGTCGGCCGTCTCCATTCTTCTTCAGGTTCAGAGCCCTCCCCGCAGTATCAGGCATGCAGCGGGCACGCTTTGAACCATTGCTGGCTGGAAAACTGCACAGGAATAAAGACTCAAAACACTCATGAGCGGTGCTGACTCCTCAATTAGGTTGATATTTTTTCTAATCTGACAAGAAAATTTTGAAATGTCCAAACTAATTATGACAATTCTTTTTGTCTATTTCCAGGCAAATCTGGTTTCCTTAAAAGATGACTCAAGGCTGGAGACATGGCCTGGTGGTTAAGAGCGTCTCCTTACTGCTCTTGTGGAAGCCTGGGACCGGAGCTCGGCTCCCAGCACCCATGCCAGGTGGTTCACAACCAACTGCAACCCCAGCTCCGGGGGATCTAAAGCCTTCTTCTGGCCTGTGCAGACACACATACACATGTGCACACACAGGCACACACACACACACACACACATAAATAATAAAATAAAACATTTCTGGAAAGACAGTTTCAATCTTTTCTACAATATCCTATCTGAATTTTCAAAGAAAATAATGGCCAGAGTAGGAATAGTTTCACCAAATAAATATTCGAGCTTTATACAGCTTCAGTTTATTTCAGGATCTTCTTAATGAAAAGATTCAAGCCAGCCTTGATGGTCTGTCTGTCTCCTCCTGAGTCTACTTTTGAACAGCCAATACTGACAGCTGACAGAGCTTGGTTACAGCACCACCTAGTGGCCATGCGTCAGCACTTTTAAAATGCATCTAAAATTTACGTTGTTTTACTGTTTGAGAATTTCGTACTTGCATATAATGCAGCGGTTCTCCACCCTTAAAATGCTGTGACCTTTAACACAGTTCCTCATGCTGTGCTGACCCCAACCATAAAATTATTTCCGTTGCTACTTAGTAACTAATTTTGCTGTGCAAGTATCTGTGGTTTTCAACAATCTTAGATGACCCCTATGAAAGGGTTGTTCCATCTTGTTCATGTATTTGTTTATTTAACGTGTATGAGTGTTTCAGCTATGTGCGTATGTGCACCACACACATGCTTGGTGCACCACACGCATGCCGAAGAGGACTTTGGATCCCCAGGGAACGGAGTTACTGAAGGCTGCCAGCAGTCACGTGGGTGCTGGGCCTCAAACCAGTGTCCTCCGCAAGAGCAGAGAGCGCTCTTACCTCTCTGGCCCTGCATTTATTTATATTTGAGAAAGAGTCCCGTGTATCTCAGACTGGCAGAACTTGCTGTGTAGCCAGGATTAGCCTGAAACTTTTGAGAATCCTCCTGCCTCAGGCTCCTAACCCTAGGATTGCAGATTTGCCCCCACCATGGCCCACTCATTCTACTGCTGACATTTGCAATTGTCAGAAATCACTTCAGACCTCTCGAGTGTTTTAAGGAGCAGCTCTCTGCATCATTTACCCTCCCTTTACCTACGCTGGACCTCACCAGAGCCTGGAATTTTGGGACGTGCTGCAGGACCTATAATAACACAATGTGGACAATGTGCCGAAAACCTCCCTTCCTCCCATCAGATCAGAGGGAGCTCTGCATGCAGGCGCAGCTCAGGACACCTGTTTCTTTGGGCCATTTGCCCAGAGCCAAGGTACCCCTCCCTTTGCACACTTTCTTCTAAACAATCATTCTCTTTCCCATCTTTTGAAACCAAACAATTCCGGCCAAAATAGAGTTTCAAGCATTACATCAGAAAATAGTACCAAACAAACGGAAATGTTTTGCTTTTAATACCAAAGCTATTTGTTTACATTTAGAAATCGTTTCCATCCAAAGCACCTTATTGAAAAGAAGCACAAGCCATCAATCAAAAGGCGACTTTATAGATAAGAAATAAGCCCTGGCCTAACAATTGTATTGAACACCAACAGCTCCTCTAGGTGGTTTTGCTGAGTCATTTTTCAGGAAATGGGCTGCCCAGGGAGATTTCTACAGGAGAAACAATCAACGCTATTTTCATATTAATAACCTCCAGTTGCCTTATTGTTCTCAAAACTTTTGTTAATAAATGTTTTCCTGTTGGGTGGGAAAAAAAACATTAATCAGAACACAAAGCCTAATCAGGTTTATTTTTATACACTTGGAATTCTTTTCTTCAGTAAGTGATATTTAATATAATTAAATAAAAACTAGTAATTGCAAAATACCCTCATTCAGAGAATATAACATCTGGAAATATTTTTTCAGATTTTTTTTTTTGCAGTGGCCTTACTACTATTCAACTACAACCCCACCCTGAACTTTAAACATATATATCTGTCTGCACCTGTATCTGCCTTTAGGTAGGTAGATAGAGAGCTACATAGATTCTGTATATGCTATAACATACTGGATATATTCCTTAGAGTGACTGTAGACTATCACTTTGAATTCCAGTTTTCTTCAAGGCAGTAGCCGTGTTTCCAATCCTTAGAGTATAACCCCTTCTGCTTAATTCCCGTTGTTTTTTGTTGATGGGGACTTAGTTTTTGCTTTTATTTTATTTTGTTTCTTTTGTATATGTGAGTGACAGGATTGTGTTCCCAGCTCCCACCCCTCCCATCCCCCAGACAGGGTTTCTCTGTACTTTGGAGTCTTTCCTAGAACTCACTCTATAAATCAGGCTGGCCTTGAACTCACAAAGATCCACCTGTCTCTGCCTCCCAAGTGCTGGGATTAAAGGCGTGCGCCACCTCCGCCTGATTAGAAAGGGTTATTTATAATCCAGGATGTATAGCTGAGGATGATGTTGGACTCCTGATCCTGCTGCCTCCACCTCCCAAGAGCTGAGACCACAAGCCCTGTGCCTCCACAGGCTTTCAGATGGCTTTAGCTATTTCTCAGTTACCACTGATGTGTGACCTCCTAGAGGTACAGACCTAGGGGTACATGGGGCCCCTCAGAAAACTCCCCAGCAGGACAAGTGAAGCCAGACAAGGTCTACGAATTCCTGGATGCTCCCTTTTGGGCTTTCCCACAGGCAGAGCTCTCCCATCTTAGGAATGAGGGGCTGTGACAAGGTTGAGAAGTTATCTGTCCCTGAGCTGAGGAAGTAGGATGGGAATCTGATCCCTGTGTATGTATAAGCTCCCAGTTCCAAAGTAAATGTAATCATTCATCTTTCAAAGTAAAGCTACATACCTAAGACTATAGAGGACAGGAATACATGCCTATATTTCCAGTGTCCCAAGGACCAAGGCAGGAGGATCACCACAAGTTCAAGACTAGCCTGAACTACACAGCAAAATAACAAAAAGTAGGGCTGGAGAGATGGCTCAGGGGTTACGAGCACTGGTTGCTCTTCCAGAGAATGAGTTCAGTTCCCAGCAACCACATGGTGGCTCACAATCATCTGTAATGAGATCTGGCGCCCTCTTCTGGCCTGCAGGCATACATGCAGGAAGAATATTATATACATACTAAATAAATAAAGCTTTAAAAAATAACAAAAAGTAAAACACAATTGAAAACTACACTGTGTTTCAAGCTCTTGAGGAGCCCAGAGGTCAGCAAGACAAGTTCTCTGTCATTTCAGCCTGAAAATGAGAGCTGAGGTCTGGCTACAGTCAACACCAGGGCTGTCCACGCTCACGCTAGCTGGAAGGATCCATCTCTAAACCCCAAAGCAGAATCTGAACACAGATCTGTCTGATGCTCTGCTCGTCTCTACTGTATAGGACACTGCTCCCTGTTCATTGGAGGGCTACAACTTGAAATCATCCTTTTAAAAACTGCTTTTATTACCATACAGCAATTATGCATAATAATGGATTTCATTATGACATCCTCATACATGTGTAATATATTTTGACCGTGCTAACCCCTCCATCACCCACTATTGTCCTCCTTCCCACTCTCACTAATCTTTCTTCTCATATTTGTGTGTGTGTGCGCGCGCACGTGTGTGTGTGTGTGTGTGTGTGTGTGTGTGTGTGTGTGTGTGCACCTCCAATCAGTTTCATTAGAAAGCTTTATAGAAGTGTGGATAAGAATTTGCTTACAGGAGCATGAACCCCTTACCAATGGCTACACCACCTAAGAAAAGGTCTCTCCCTCCCCGGTCAACCATTAATATAAATCCTCAATGGGTAGGGGTGTCCCAGGAGCCTCTCCCTGCATGCCTGAGTGTTGATGGATCCAATCCTGTGGAGATTTTTGTGCAAGTGACCTCAGCTGCTGTGAGTTCAAGAGAGCTACAGACACATTACACCCAGAATTTGGACTTTCACAACTCACCACCACCACCACCACCACCACCACACACACACACACACACACACACACACACACATTTCCTCTGGCTCTTGCATTCTCTCCATCGTCCTCCATAGCGTCCGCTGATCCTTGGAGGGGATGATAGAGATGTTTCTTTGATGGCTGGGCTTTCAGCGATCACGGCTTCTCTGTACTTTGAACACACAAGTCTCTATGGTTATTGCTGCCGGCTGGAAACTGACTCTTCGCTGGCCTAAGCTGACCCTTTCAGACTACTGGAAAGGCAGAAGCACAGTGCAATCCCTTTCACCCGACTCCCGTGAACTTTCACTATGCAATCCAGGGGTAAGCATCCAGTTGCTCTGCCAGACTTCTGGAATTTATTTTTGGGAACAAAGGGTAGGGTCAACATTTGAAAGACAGCCACAAATCTGTGGAGTCAAGGAACTGGTAGAGAAAGGATCCAGTTAGCAGTCTTTTTGCTGTTTGCTGTGACATTCTCTCAACAGCCACTGAAGGACCACATTACATCAGCCTTTGTCTGCCGTTCCCGTGTGGCTTTCGTCATAGCACCCTGGCTTCTCTTTAGTTTTCATCCTGGGTTACCTCTTGTTAGCTTGGTTTGTAAATGTACTTGTCTCCCCCAGAATTTACAAATTCTTTCTTTAATTTTCTCTTCTCCTTACTCTAGGTTCCTGTGTGCGCAGGTTCCCTCTGTATAGGTCCTAAATCTAAATTTCTCAGTTGCACTTCTCGCTTAAGCTCCAAACTCCGTTGCTAAAAACTACATAATATTTCCATTACCATACTTCACCCCACCAGAAAGGTCTAAAGCTGAACTCATCAACTCTCCTCAATTTGTACAGCTCCCTCCGTGCGATGGACACACACTTACGAATGATAATGCCCAACACGGACATCCTCACTGGACTCTTGTTCTCCAAAGAGGTCTCCGCCAAGCTCTGATCTCCAGCTCTGACCTGAGCACCTCTGGACATCGGTACATTATAGACAGATTTTTCTTTGGGCCACTGGGTCACAAAAAAAAATGATGCAGCTACTTCTTATTAATTATGAAAAATCAACCTATAGCTTAGGCTTGTCCCGTTAGCTCTTACAACTTAAATTAACCCATTTATATTAATTTAAGTTTTGTCTCGTGACTTTTTACCTTTCGTCCAATTTGTGCCTCCTGCTTCCTTTCTGTGTACTCTGGCGTCTCTCTCGTCACAATTCATCTCCTCTTCCTCTGTCTCTGCCCGGAAGTCCTGCCTAGCCTCTTCTTGCATAGTTATTGGCCTTCCAGCTCTTTATTAGACCAATCAGAAGGTGTGGAAAAGACACATTTTTTATAGGGTACAAAAAGATTATTCCACAACACTAGATGCTATTCCTATTATTTGGAATGGGCTTCTAGACATCTGTTTATTCAGCGAATTTCTTTTTGTTTGTTTGTTTTTGTTTTTTGAGACAGAGTTTCTCTGTGTAGCTTTGGAGCCTATCCTGGAACTAGCTTTTGTAGACCAGGCTGGCCTTGAACTCATAGAGATCCACCTGCCTCTACCTCCCAACTGCTGGGATTAAAGGTGTGCACCATTACCACCCGGCTCTGTTCAGTGAATTTCTATGTGTTCAAGAATCAACACGCACAGCCCAGCCCTCATCTAAAGCCCCTATAGATTCCAATTTGTGCAAGAAAGACTTGGACAAGATTTAGATGCTGCATATGGAACACTAAACTAAGGAGCTTTTCTTTCTTCCTTCCTTTTTTGTTTATTGTTTTGATTTTTTGAGATAGGGTTTCTCTATGTACTCCTGGCTGTCCTGGAACTCAATCTATAGACTAGATCGGCCTCGAACTCACAGAGATCCACCTGTCTCTGCCTCCTGTGGACTGGGATTAAAGGCGTGTGCCACCATGACCAGCAAAATTTTTTCATCTCTGGGTGTTTTCACCTTGTTCTCAGAGTCTTTAGTAAGGATGTCACACATGGAATTCTTAGTCAACGTTTGTTGATATCATTAATGAATTAATGAAATAAAATAGAATCAGTGAGCTGTTCCTTCTTCCTGCATCTATTTTTTTGTCTTTTGGTCGGTTGGTTGTCTGGTGATTGTTTGTTTTTTCAGGTTTTTTTTTTTTTGGATAGTCTCACTGTAGCTCAGGTTGGTTTTGAATATGACCCTTTCGCTTCAGCCCTGTGTATGTTGAAATTACAGACATGTCTCACCACACTAGGTTTCACTACCGCATAATCTCTTCAAATTTCCTATTACCTACTATTTCTGGATTGGTCACTACTCAGAAATATTGATGTAGCAAACAGCCTGTCCGACACAGCTCTTGGGAGTAAGCTTGGTTTACAGTCCCTGACACCATCCGGCCCCTTGCAAGTACAATAATTCCAGAGCAACTCCTAAGAGAATAACTGATGTGAATTCCTTCATTCCCAACACACGACGAAAGAAAGAAAAGTTTCCATGTATCTGGGCTTCTACAGGGCTGCAGTTCAATAGGTGATCTGTATGCTTCCTCTTGACTCCTAAACACATGTGTTCCTTTGTCTCTCAGGAAGCAATCATCATGTACCATGGAAATCAGCGAGTGCAGAGGAAATGTTGCAGGGGAATAATGAAGCCAACTAGCTCAGCTCCACAAGAGTTGGTCACATCCTAAAACAATTAAAGAACAGGCATCCAAAGACTCTTGAAGGAAGTGTGGTGTTTTGACAGTAACTTTTGCAGTAAGTGAACGCATTCCAAAAGGCTCAAGCATTTGCAAAATGTGAGCTAAGCCCCTTGCTCAACCCTCATCCTGCCATCTCAAGAGCCCCAATGCCCACTTGCCATAGTGTTCCCATCCTATCAATTAATAAGTTTAAATGAAAAACAAATATATACAAGGACAAGAAGTTTGGGGGTATAGAGATGAGGAGATTTGGGAGGAGTTAAGAAGTTGGGGTGAATATGATCATATACCGTGTATGAAATTCTTCAAAAATAAAAACATACATATAGTTATATAGTTGTTTTGTTTGAGATAGGATTTCTCTGTGCGTAGTTCTGGCTTGTCCTGGAGCTCTCTCTGTAGGCCAGGCTGGCCTCGAACTCACAGAGATCCTTCTGCCTCTGCCTCTGCCTCTGCCTCTCTAGTGCTGGAATTAAAGGTGTGTGCCACCACCTCCCAGGAAACAAATATTTTTAAAGCTAGTGCTAGTGGCAGCACTTGAGGGAACATGCTCCTTCCACCAATCAGAAGTCATCTTGAGGTGAGCCATGTCCACATGTCCTGGCCTGGATTTCACAGGACAAATATCTTGCAACTAACTTTCCACACCTTTAGCTATTCTCTCTCCATAACCAGACTTACAGCTAGCAGCCTCACAGGTATTAAGACTGTATCAGGTTTAAGACTGTATTTGAGGGCTGAACAACGGCTCAACAACTAAGAGTATGTTCTGCCCTCGCAGAGAACCCTTGAGTTTGATTCTATATTGGGCCGCTCACAGAGCCTCTATTTCCAGCCCCAGGGGATCCGGCGCCATCTTCTGGCCTCTGTGAGCATCTGCGCTCATGTACACACCCCTGGGCACGTGCATACATATAACTTAAAAGTAACCCTTAAATCCAATTATAGGAAAATTAAAACCATACATCATTTACTTTGAAGGCAACATCCAATTGGCCAAATTCCCCTTCCTCCGAAAACCTTCTTATTCGCTTTCTCTTGTAGCAGAGCTGGCAATGGTTTGCTAAGTCTTTGTAGAGATCCGAAGTTTGTGTCTCCCAGAAACTGCTCTGATGGTGAAGATGACGGCGACGCTGTCGCTGTAAATGAAACCGCTTGTTTCCATGGTAACAGTGTTTCCTCCTCAGCACCTGAACACAAGGACATTTCTCCTCAGTGAAAACTTATACACTCAACCTCATTACCTTATACCCTATTTTCTAACAATACAAACTATATTATTAATTGAAGAGTATCATATACACAATTCTAGATAGGACTAAGGCAGGCTAGGGTTTGTGTGGGGGCGCCACAGTCGTCAGGCACCTAGGCCCCATCTGCCCTTCCACTTCCTATCCTAACAGTGGCCTTAGAGCTCAAGGTTACCTCGGGATGAAAAATTATGCTGCTGGAACCCAGCCTCAAAGTCCTTTGTCCGCATAGCAGGGTGGACAGTGGGAAAGCACAGAAAGGATCTAGACCACTGCCTGCCCCTCTTCTAAGAGCTGTCCAGTAGCGGCTTCTCCTTATATCATTGGGCAGGCTTTGCATTCGCTTACACCTCTCTGGGAAAGACGGCTCTGTGGGATCTCAGGAAGAGTGGGAAGAATAGGGAGTTGTCGACGGCTGCAGTGATGAAAGTGGAGCTGAGGGACAGAAAGGCGGTGGTGCACAACTTTAATACCAGCACTTAGGAGGCAGAGTCGGGGGGGAACTTTGAGTTCGAGGCCAGCCTGGTTTACAGAACGAGTTTTAGGATTGCCAGGGCTACACAGGGAAACCCTGTCTCACAAAAAAACAAACAACAAAAAACAAAATCAAAAAGCCTAAACAAAAGAGCAAAGGTTTAAAAGTATAAAAAGTGACTGGATTTAAATCTCAGGTCTGGTAGCAAGGAGACCAGGTAATGGGAAGAACTGGACCTGGGTGGTGGTGATAGAGAAAATGAAAAATGATCATTTTCTGACTCCCTTTTGAGCGACAAGCCAACCAGACTTGCTAAGGGATGAGAATTCTAGAGAAAACTAAGTCAAGGGTGAGGACCAAAAGTTTGTTTGCTTGCAGGGGACTGAAAGATTGGAGTTGACACTCCCTAAGAAGAGATTAGGGTGGGAAGGATAAGCTCAGGCTGGGAATGTGTATTGGACACCTAAGGGGAGGCCCTTGAGTTGGATATAGTCTAGAACACAGAGGCACGGTACAGGCTGGAAGTAGACACGGTTAGAAGCCATTGATACAGAGAGAATGGGGAAAACACTAGAATGGATGAAACAGGAAAGTGGTGGGTATAGGTCAGTAACAGAAAACAGCTCAGAACTGAGTTCTGGAGCACTCACTCCATCCTAGAGCGACTTGGAGAGGAAAAGCAGGGAGGCTTTGAAAGTGTAGCTCAGGGGAGACTATGTGTCTACCAGGTAGGAGTCTCGGAGACCGTCTCAAAAAAAGGAAAGGAAGCACCAAAAAAAGGAAGGAAGGAGGGGAGAAAGGAGAGAGACAGAGACGTAAAGCAAGGAGGAGGCAAGAAAAAGAAATGGAAGAGGAAGAAGAGGAGAAGGAGGAAGATGATGATCTAAAATAAACAGACAAGAAAATGAACAGCAGTTACTGGAGGGGAGAAGTTAGGACGCGGGAGAAGGTGTAGGCAGGAAGCCGAGAACTGGGCGGGCGGTAAGCTAGAGGAGAAAGTGGGTTAAGAGCGCCAGTGTTGTGTTTAGTCTTTTATGGTGAGACATACTCTTGTGGTGCTGGCAAAGACTGGCAGTACAGGAGAGTGGGAAGGGTTGTGGGGTCATGTTGATCGGCTAGGAAAGTCAGGGCCTGAATCAAGTTGTCTTCTGACTGCCACACTTGTGCTGCAGTACTTGTGCTTAGATATGCACGCACATGAACACACACACACACATACACACACAGAGACACTAAATAAATATAGTTTAAAACTTGAGAAAGAGAGAGGATGGAAAAAGGGAAGAGAGGAGAGAGAGAACAATCTGGAAGTTTGTGGAAGTTTCCTTCTACTGGCTGTATTTCCTCAGTAGACAGCAAGCAAGGTCATTGTGACAATGAGGTAGGAAGAGGGTAAAGTTTTGAAACAAACAAACAAAAAAGGTATAAAATAATCCCCTCCCAGCAGAGCAAAGAATGAAGGGCCTAAGAAACACAAAATGCAAGTGCTGGGCGGCTAGCTGGGCCTCCAGAGGTCGTGCTAAGAATGAAGCCAGGTGTGGTGCATGCCTGTAAGCCCCACCCTGGGGAGGTGGAGGCAGCCCGGAGCAGAGAGTTTGAAGCTGGCCTCACCTACATGAGAACCTGTCAATGAAAGGAAGGAGAGATAGAGACACAGGAAGAGAAGGAACAAAAGACAAAAAAAAAAAAAATCGAACCAAGTCAGATCAGTTTGGCTGTGCGCCACACTCCAGCTTTGATCAGCTGCGGGAATGGGGTGTGGGGAGTCCACCTGGACAAAGGCTATGTATAGCTCAACAAAGGGAGCGGGTCATGGCGTGAGGGACTGTAACAGTAGAGGGGTCAATGGATGTGGGGTTCTAAAGGTGAAGGAGTGTCAATGCCTAGAATATGTATGTGTCCCCTAAACTGTCCCTCCCCATACCCAAATCTACTGATATTTTATTAGTGTGAGTTAAAGCTTAATTCAAAAATAAGCAGGACAGCCTTCATCCAAGACTTCCCGCTGCCTACCTGAAGGACAAAGCCATGTTCCTGGACTGCCTGTGTTGGTAAACTTCCTGCCATTTCTTAATCCACAAAGTCGAGATTCCAGTGGGCTTCCTGGCATGGCTAAGTGCCAGGCCAGTGAGAATCTCATTACCTGTGGAAGACAGAATGCCAGCGCTCCGCAGGCCACTATGTGGGTCTTCTCTCAGGCCCAGAATTTCAAAGCTCAGCGGGACTGCCACCATACCCTGGGTGGAGAATGGAACAAAACCCAAACTTCCTTAGCCGGGCTTCTTAAACAGGGTGTAGGGAGGATCCAGAAGGAACAAAGTGGCCTCAAGTCAAGAATCCCAGTGGAAGCCTTGAGATGCCAGGCCTGGTTCATCCAGCCAATAGCACTGTTTAATGGGCATCCCAGAGCTCTGGAGAGCCAAAATAGCCCATAGACAAATCGTGGTTAATTTCCTTTTTCTTTCTCTCACTCTCTCAGCACAGAAAGCCCAAATTTCTTTTAGTATCTAAACTGATGTCTCTGTACCCAGGTATTTACAACCTGTTTTCTCCAAAGTGTCTGTCCAGGATCTCAGAGTTTTAAAACTTTGTTCCTTCATTGGGTGATATGGACCACTGGGTTAACTCCTAGTCTTTGTGCAACCTCTGTTTTGAGAATCTCCAAGTAACATGTAAAGTACTAATATCCGGGAATTCTGAACAAATGGAGGTTTCCTTACTTGATTAGGAGGAATAAAACCAGCAAGTTTGTTGTTTTGCTTTTATGAAATCCAAGAGAGATGTTCCTGTCACGTTTTACAGTGTTAAATGCTGTGGAGGTCAACCATCCAGTACTTAAATAGCTATTCCCCTGCCCAGGCCCAGGTCCTAGAAATCATTGAACATGGATGATAAAGCCCTGCCTTCAGAGAATAAACTGCAAGCAGGAACCCTTTTCTGGAAGGTAAAGGGAAAAGCTTTAATGGTTCTTTAATGGTGGCTTGGGTTTAAGCACTAAACTGTCTCTCTAGTATTTGAAGGGATTTCGTTTGGAGCTCATTGTGTTGACTGTCTTTGGAAAGATTAGATAGTTTAGTTAGACTCCTCCTGGCCATGTAAATGTCTCCCCATTTATTGACTGTCTGCAGTCTTTATCAAAGACCGAACACAATCGGCAGCTTGTAAACAGAGATCCCATTATCTGTGTGCTACTGATAAGATTTACTGAGAGTTGAAATTTTTTTTATGATTGACTGACCAGTTAAAGATACTCATACAGTACAGAAAAGGATGATAAATGAATAAGAATTCAGCCCATGAACGTGCCACTTTGTTTGGGGGCTACAATCCCTGGTTTGCACCTGTAGATTGTAGAAGTAACTACGTGTACAGCAATCGGTTAAAAACATGCAAGTCCATTTGAATATTCTATGTACTTTCCTGCTGCTCTTTCAATGACCTGCAAAGGGGTTTATGCTTCCCCAGGAAGACTACGTTAAATCTTTCAGAACACATAGAGACAAATTCCGTGGATGTGTATCCACTTTGGGAACATTCTAAAAATTTGCTAAGGTATTCAGATCTGAATTGGTCTTTGTTTTGTTTTGGTTTATTTTGGTTTGGTTTTGCTGCTGAAGATCAAATCAAGATCTTGGCAAGCACTACCTTCCAACTTAGAGGTCCGTGTTTTCAAATGCTATAATCAAAATGCAAATTTTGATTGGTGCTCAGTAGGTGTTTTTGACCCATGGGACCGACATTCTGTTGTATTGATTCTGATTTTGGTGGTCTCTGCTGAGTGGGGAGGGTTTTGTGCCATTCAGCTTCCTTCCCTGAGTGACAGAGGGGAGAAAGTATCCCATCCTTCCAGACACACATGGCAAGGATTCCAGGAAACATGGCTTCCATAGTTCAACCAAAGCAAGAAGGGACTTTGCAGCAAGAGGTACAGGAAGAGAGAGGGCTAGGGTTCGAGAGAAGGCCCCAAAATAGATGTGAAATTAGGCAGTTTTATCTGAGAGAGATGGAAAGGATGCCCTGCCTTCAGCTTTGATCACTTCCTTGAAACTTCCTGTTGTCTGCTTCCTTACCTCCTGACAGAAAGCTGTCCTGAGCCCTATGAGTCCACACGACGGCTCTCTGTGGGCCTTTCAAACTCCTTCATCCGAATTGTATTTTATTCATGGATTCCTAGGAATTCCTGTGTTCAGCCTCCCACAGCTGTAAACTCCTGCAGGGCTGGACTTAATCTTGTGTTTTTTATTTGTTTCTAGACAGGGTCTCACTAAGTAGCCTTGGTTGGCTTGGAATCCAGGCTGGCCTTGAATTTACAGAGACCTGCCTGCCTCTACTTCCCCAGTGCTGGGGTGAAAGTCAAGCACCACCAACCTGGTTCAGTCTCAATGATTTAAAGCATAACAAACAGAGGTTAGCATATAATACATTCTTAATGCACCGAGCAGGAAGAAGGAAGGCCCGTTATTTTAGCCTTGGCTCACACACCTCATCTTCTCATCCTCAAAAAGTCCTTACACCCTCAAGGGCCGATTGTGCTCTGTGGGCATCTCAGTGAGAACTGCACACTTGCATACTTAGCAGACTTGGGTCAAGTCTCCATGGTTTGATATCTGTGTCCTATGTATCACAATCACAATCAAAGAGTTCCACGTCCACAGGCTGAGTCGGCTTCTGTCCCCTGCTTCACCCACAGTGCCTCAAGGCGTCTCTTCAGGGTTGTCACCCACCAAGTGACTGTTGGTTAGGAAGGGAGGGAAGGTGGACCGGCCTCCTCTGTGAACGGCAGCACATCCGGGACTATCCAGGCACAAACAGAAGCCAAGCCATAAGGAGCAGCAGGCAGACAGCCCCCCAGTCTTCAAACACCTCCAAATAAAAGACAAAGAAATCTCACTAGATGTTTGCCAGAGGCAGGCAGAGGACAATGGCGGCACTTCGGTCAGGACAACCTAAGAAGGAACAAATGGCCAGTTGTCACTGGAGCAAACTAGGCAAAGGAGGCAAAGTCATCAATAAGAATTGGCTAAGCACCAATGATGCACAGAGCATTTGAGGTTCATTCTGCTTCTTAGCCATTTCATTGAGATGTAATTCATATGCTGTGTACCTCACCCAATTAGAGTACATGCTCAGTGGACTTAGTAGATACACAGTGTTATACAGACAATATCCCATAGAACTTCATACCCTGCTCAATGCCGCCACCCCAGTTAACAGTCCCACCTGTAACTTAATCAGCCGCTAACTTACTTTCTGATTTTACTGATTATTCCTGTTCTGAAAACTTGATATGAAATGGAATAAAATATGACTCCTTATGCCTAGCTTCTTTCTTTTAGCACATTCTCAAGGTTCATGCATATCATAGCCTGTAGCAGAATTCAGTCCCTTTTATCATCAGATAATGTTCCATCATATAGATGTATTATGTTCCATAGATCCCCTTATCCGTGGATGGGTATTTTGGGGTACATTTCAATTTTTTATTAGCATGCATTAGTTATGCAGAATCATGCCATTTTCACATACACACACAAAGTATTTTGACAGTCAGCTCCCACAGACTCTCCCACCTGTTTCCCTCTGGTTGTTTCCTCTTTCCAAACAGTGAGGATGGGATTCGTGCTTTCGTTCTGAAAGTAGGTCTCATGCGGCCAAGGCTGCTCTCTGAAGCTGGCCTTGAACTTATGATCCTCCTACTTCTACTTTCTGAGTGGTGGGGTTACAAGGGTATACAACCACATCTGACTACCAGGGTTGATTCTTGACAAATGGTTTCTCATTTTTCTTTCCAATACTCCTGAAAGTAAGGTGTATGTGTCTTCACTCTACAGATGTGACCCAGATGGCCAATTCTCCCACTCCCTTGAAAATGGCAGTAGGAGTGACCCCAGGTCTGCTTGGCTCAAAGCTTCCATATTCAGTCACCGCCTGCTATTTAGCCAATCTTGCCTATACAGATAGCACACACCAAATGCTAAAGACTCAGAGGTAACTGCTGCCCCCTCTCCCGTGTTTCAGGAAATGTAACCGTGAATTAAATTATTTCAGTAGCTGTGGACATAGTGGCAAACACACGAGCTTTGGGATAGACAGTCATGTTCTGTCCACTTCATAACCGTGTCATATGAGCCAAGGTGTTAAATTTCTTTCTGTCTGTGTTTCCTGCCATGTAAAAGTGCAAACAATTCCCCTCCGACGAGACTGTAGACTGTGGTGAGGATGAATTGAGGCGGGGATGTGAAGTGCCTGACACGGAGTAGGTAGTTATGATGTTGTAGCTATCACACTCATGGCTGCTTTCAGTGGAAGTAAGAACAAGTCTCATGCGCACATGCATGCATGCATACAGACACACACATGCACGCATACAATCACACGCATGCATACACACATGCACGCATACACTCACATGCATGCACACACATGCACACATACATACATGCATACATACACACACATGCACGCATACACATACACACATGCATGCACGCACACATGCGCGCACACACCCCTTCCCCATTGACAGGAGTCTGGGAAAGCCAGCTCTGGGTGTGGGGTGGTGGGAAATCCAGGCAGAAATCTCCAGTGGCAGACAGGCAGAGATAAGAGGCAGGAACTCAGGTGAGAGGTCAGGGTTAGAGATATGGATTCCGGGGTTATCTGCATGAAGGTGAAGTGTTGTTCCCACGGATCAAACTAAGAGCACTACCACAGTTTACAACCAAATTTGAAGCAAGCTTTAATAAAATACTGATCAGGTGGATGGGCTCTGGCCAGGTCCATACCCAGGTTCCCAGGAAATGGCCTGGAATCAAGTATGGCAAGGACGTAAGAAGGAAAACCCGTAATTCCTTGCATTTTCCATCAGGTCCAATCAGAGGCAAGCATACATCCTGACACGTTTCCTGCCTATCTACCTCCTGCCCACACATGACCAAGCACATCCAGTGCAGATGGGACAAACTTGCTTAGAGGAGTGAAAACTCGTGACCTCTAGCATTTCAGGAACTCCGTCCTTGGGGCTTGCAGATCGGACTCCGTTTTGTTTCGTGGATCTCTAAGGCATAGTAATTAAAACTTAAAATGTAACTTTGGCTCTCATAGAAGGTCGACACTGTGATGATGTCTTAGTAAAACAGGCAGAAAATGAAGAAGTGAGTCCAAGGTCCAAACCCTGCACTCTCCACCGTTAAGGCCACGGAACAGAATAAGAAGCAACAAGAGATAGAAACAAGCGTGTGAGGGGCTGTGATTGGACAAAAGCAGCATTTAATTATGAAAACCAAGGAGAAAGGACGTTTGAGACAGAGAGAGGTGTGGGAGAAAACCGAAAAGGCAGGCGGTAAGAAAGTATACAGTACCGAAGACTGAGACGAGCCGCTACGGTCAGCGCCCGGAAGCCATGGCGGCTTCAGTACTGAGCAGCTCTCCGTCCAATCCATTGGGCACCTGGACAACGGTTAAGCAATTCTGCTCTAGGTAAGCACTGCAATAAGTAGCCAGTCTTAAAAATGTAGACTCCAGGAAGGTGGCTGTGTTTTAATGGGACAGTATGTAAATTCCAATAATATGACTTGAGATTTCATGATGCTGTTACCCTAACCCAAGTTTCCACTTAGCAAGTTTTGATCAAAATTTGTCTTCTTCCTCAAATCACAACTGCCTGAAAATGCCATTAAGACAACGTTCTTTTTCCTAACTATGTGTTTATCTAGGACTTTTACCAAAACAGTGTGTCCCAGCAGGTTCAGTGCAGAACAGACATTGAACAAGAGGGGTCACCTGTTGTGTGTTAGGACACACACTAAAGATACTTGGAAACTCTCTATATAAATGACAAATTATTTGCTATTTGGAAAATACACCTGTGTTTTTACAAGATATCTGTGTTAACATGTAATAACCTTACTGCTGCTATTTTAAAATGGGCTAATAAACAATATTAAAAAAAATACAAATTCTGAGCCCACTCAGTTCCCTGTCCCCGTCACCACCACCAAAGACTCTGGTTCAGTAGGAATGACATTAGCCCCGGAAGGGTTTGTTTATCCTGATTTCTTGCTATTACCATGCTGGAATCCTCAGACTGTGCTTTGTTAAGATGTAGTCTCTTGTAGCCCAGGCTGGCCTCAAACTCACTGTATAGTCAAGCATTATCTCAACATCATCCTTGACCCTCTTACTTTGTGTCCCCATATATTTAGATTCCAGACTTATGCCACCACGGTCAGCTTATATGGTGCTGGGGATCAAACCCCCAGATTTGTGTGTGCGAGTTTCATCACCAGCCCTCAGAATACACTTTAGATAGGAGCTTTCTATTCCTAGCGCCCCTACTACTCCCTAGATTACAAACAGAAAAGAGAAAGAGAAACACATTGTGTCAGCCGCTGGGGAGAGACTCCCTCTGGCATCTTATTCCCACTGTATACATTTCAGAGACAGTCTTTTGACCTCACCAGAGACAAGTGCTCAGAGTGAAATCCCCCAAGGTGTCATGGCCTCCCCACCTGTCCTGAAGCCTCTGTTCTGGCCAACGTATTTAATTATGTTTGAAGCCCATGTTTCCTTTGGTGAAGCTTTTTCCATTATAGCCATTTATCAAAGGATTTATAACCCTCGAGGTAAAGTTCCTTGAAGGATGATCTCCACCACAGACACGTTAAGAGCCCTTCAGGTGCATTAATGCCCTGGCCCCTGGATTTATTGCAACACAGTAAAGTTTTTCTTTAGAAAACACACTCTGAGTCCCTGCAGCCTTTTCCAGAGCGAGATGAAAAGCCGAATGATTTGAGAGGGAGTCAAAGAATGCCATCTTTTTAATTATGTGCTAAACACAGGAACACCTAATACAAATATTTGGCTATGTGGTCAAGCAGTGGCTCTAAGGTCACCGGTAGAAATTTATAGGGAACTTTAAGGGCCCTGCACAATGATCTTCTTGGTTATGGCTTCTGAATTGCTCTTCATTGCCAATACCGCTGCATTTGGACATAAATAAAATTTGCTGAATTAGGGCCCTGCCCTGGCTAAAATGTTTACCCTTTCCTTGAAATGAGTTGCGGTCATGGAAGCCTTTCTGTTTTGTTGGCAGGAGCAGATTTACACAAGATTAGCCCTCTTAACATAGCCTAATGACTCACTAACTCAAAGTGCTTTCTGGGTAGGTGCTGGACTTGTCTGTTCAACGTGGAGGGGAAAAGGGGGAAATAGGAGAAATCTATTTCAGAATGTCTTAGGGTAGCGTGACGCCACACTGCCTACGGTGCTAGAAGATCTATTCTGCACATAGTTTTACCAAATATTGGACTGGAAGGGTTGTCAATCATGCGCTCTGCTCTGCTTGAGCCCTGGCTCACCAAGATGCAATGTTTCCTTCTATGAGGCTTAGTTCTCCATGCGCTGGACCCTCAGCCTCCGATGTGCCGGCTTTGTCTCCCGACTGAAATGGAAGGCAGTTGTGTTGTGATGTGAGAAAAATTCCCATGGCCTGGACTGATCACAGAGGACAGAAGCAGCAGAGAAGGGGGGGAAATTCTAGAGACAATGTCAGGTACAGTGGTGCACACCTGTAGTCCCAGAGCTTAGAAGGCTGAGGCCAACCTGGGTGACAGACCTTGTCTTAAAAAGTAAAAATAAACAAACACTAACTGTTTAGTTTTTTTTTTTTAAAAAAAAAGCCTTAGGGCTAAGACTTGGAGGAAAGGTGTGTGTTTCATTTCTGACCACCTTCCCGTGGGCTTGCACCTTTCAGTAAGATTTTACGTGGGACAGTCTTTAAATACTATTTTAAGTAGACCCTGAAATGCTTCCTTTTCACAAGGAATTTTTTTATAAAATATGCTTTTTTTATAAAATATGGCAGGCTTTCCTATTGTGCTTGCTCTGCCTCCATCTTTCTTTTAGTTCTCTTTTTTTTAAAGATATATTTATTTATTATGTATAC